GCGTCAGGGGTTAACTAAAAGTGACTGGTGAAATCAAGTGTGATATTTCATCCTGAGGTATTATCAAAAATGGAACTTGTTTTCTGATCGATCAACCGAATCTGATTCTCCTTGGTCCTGAATGGATCGAAAAGTTCGGATTGTTTGATGCTCTCGTGAACAAGGTGTATCGACGATTCCGCCTAAATAGACCTCAATAGATCACCACCACCACCACCACAGAAAACATTTGGTACCTTTCCAAATCAAATGCTGGATCTCACAATGTGTTATTCTTTCTCCGTCTTTCTTTCCATTATATATGGCAGTAAAATTCCCCTTGTTTTTCCATTTATTGATTCGAACTGACTATTTTTTGAACTTCACCTTCACGCACAATCCTCAGTTTATCGATTCAACCATACACTCGGAAGCACTAGACTCAAATTTTGCTCTCATTAAGGCTCATCAGCTGTGCATAGTTGGTGGTAAATTGGACTGAAATTTTTCCGGCTTCATAGTATGTGGTTGTAAAGTTTCATCCGTGAGTGAACTGCGAAGGCTATTTGATGATCGGTCGTCAGGCAATCCGCCTCTCATTCGCTCAGTTGTGAATACTTTCAAATATCATAATGTGATAATTTCACTCGTCTGCTACATCAAATCGGACATGAAGACCCAGTTTTTCCCGAATCTTTTTGAGTAATCAACCAATACCAAATTCCTGAAACCTGAACTATCCAGAATGAATTTTAACTCAAAATTTGCCCTGGTTGGCTCATTTCTACGGCTGAAAAACTGTAATCTCTCCTCACATAAGCTAATCGTAAAATGTACGAATGCTTGCATCATTCCCCAGTGATTGGATTATTTACCGCTCCCTTTAAACGGACTCCTTATGTGAAGTGTTTCATTCAGCTGAGAAGAGCTGCAAAATCACCTATCAACACGCAATGGACTTTTTCGAGTAATCGTTGCAGATAATTTTGTCACTAGACGCATTGATGCATCTAGTGCATTGGTCACCTCTCCACATGAGGATATTCCACATACTTTACGTGACGGTCTGTGTATACACATCCATGTCCACATGCACCACCCGAGCTTACTCTCAAGTTCAATATTCCTGTACTTCTTTGTTAGCGCATCTCCATCCTTCCATACTTATCGCCTCTCACTTCGTGGACCCGCGAAAAGTACCCGATGGACGATGTGCACGTTTGCGTACTCCACGGATGTTCGTATTGATTAGTCAACTTAATTCGTATTCGAAATATCCGCCGTAATAGCTGAAAATTCACCTAACATCGGCGCACACTGTTTTTTTTTATTGGCTCCATGTGTAGGAATGGATAATTGTGAAACCGGAAAAGCCATTGCAGTTTACGTCATTGAATGTTTTAACAAATAGACCAAATCGGTATTTGGATCGCGCCTCAGACATCAGGTATACATACGTCGGTGAATGTTTTAGATCAAATATAGTACATTCCTCTGGGTCAATTATGAGCGTACTTTGTTAGGTTTGTGCAACACGGGTTCCAAATGATCAGTATTTAACCACACTGTATTATACACACAATGGAAACAAACAAGGATCAATGCATTTTTGTAATAGTTGTACAAGGCACAGATCACGAATGAAAAATCCCAGACGCCATGGGGACATTGGATCGTACTGGTACTTGCCACGTAACCAACACACAAGGAAAAGGTCACAGAAGTAGCAGTTCATTTATTGGCAGAGATCAAGGGGATTAGGTAACATGTACAAAGAAAGTGTGGAGTTTATACTAGTATCCTTCAAATGCGTGCTTGTATTGGTGAAGTCATACACCTTCTGTCTGGACCGCACGATGTATAATTGGATGCCACAATCGGCCTGTGATTCGTTGTCCAGATACTGAAGCACGTAGACACTTGGCTGGTGTCATCTGGGAAGGTTGACTCACCACAGTTGTTCAGAAAATGTAACGCGTCGCACTGTGGATGGCCTTATTTCCCAGATATATTCAATTTTGTTCGTGTAAAATTCACAATTCATCTTAATCGAATTAATTTCGGTTCTCGATGATGAACAGGAGTCCGCAACAGCCGAATATTGGCTAAAGGTTTTCTGAAAATTGGCCAATGATTAGAGTATGATTAGTAAAACGTTCTATATGATTCACAATCCGTATTTCGTCGGAGGACATATTTGTTCAATAGATCACGTATCATGCGCTTATGAGATGTTACATGAAAAATAATTTCATTCCAACTTCGACTGATAGCATTAGTCGATACCATGTTTCCGTTTTGACGCGTGCATGTGTGTATCCGTCCAAGGTGCATCCCATAACGTTAAAAGCTCGTTTTTGACCTGTCGCTTATCCGAATTGCATCGCTATCGTTTCATCATTTCCTAAAATTAAACGGTGTTTAGGCTCTCGATTCGTCGGAAATGAACTATAAATATGTGATCGATACAAACATCATCATCACATGATCATAAATATCCCAATAAAAGGTTCATTGGCTTATTGGCCGATGTTAAGTGTCAAACAGATTTCTCTCAAAGGCTTTGTGCTTCCATTGAAACGATACATGGTGGTTTCGGAAGGCAGCTCGTTTGCCGTTTGTGCACCCGATTGGCTTCATCGTTATCGCTCACTGGTTACGTTTTGTTCTCGTGCTCAATACCAATTTTGCACTCTATCTGCCGACGTTTTGCCTTCAGTAAAAAGGTGCTCTATTGCAATACTAATCGGTGCTACTGTGAAGCACAGTCTCCACAATCAGTATTTTTTGAAGTCTAAGAGGTAAGCATGATTTGTGCTCCATATAAATCTACCATAATCTGATTCGAATCGCGACCTGATGGGCTCTGAATTCTAAGATTCGATAAGAATAGCTCCCATAAACTTTACCACTGCCACACTCAGGTGTGGTAAGTGAACGAGTTGCAGATGACCGGGCAAGTAAAACGTGACATGTAATATTGTAATGTGTGATTGAAAAACTCATACAGAACCAAATAGCAACACAGCCGAGCACAACTCAGTCGCTATACTCGCACTGTAAGGATGGAACTCAATCGCAATCACTATGGAGGACAATGATTTTCTACTACTATAACTGTGGTTCACAGTAGTAGCAGTAGACTGTTAATCGTTTGAGAGCTGCCTTTGATAATGACGAGTTTTCAAGAAGCCCTGTGTTTGATTGGTCTGAGGAATTCAAGCATGGCAAGCAGTCACTGCATAATGGTCAACCTGTGCGAGCCATCACAGCGGACAACATTGCTGCTGTGCTAGTGATGGTGGAGGACGATAGGTGGATGACACTGGCGAACAGCTGGCGAACGCCATCGAGATCTTATTGGGATCGATCAGCAGTATTCTCCAGGAGAAACGTGATCTCAGAAAGGTTTTCGCACACTGGGTACTCCATCAGCTCAGTGAGGAACAGAAAGCAGTTCGGGTGAATTGGTGCTGCACCATGCCGGCTGTTGCATAGGTCCCAGCGGCTTAAGTGCCTACCCTCTGCCAACCTGCACATCGTTAATTTGCTTGTTCCACAGATGTCATCGATTGATATTTATTCAGTAGACACCGGTTGATGGGTTGCCGCCTCCGAAATTCCGACCTGATTTCAGTGTGACAACGCACATTATGGCTGTGTTCATGGCCAAAACCGATCATGTTGCAACTGTACCGCTCGTACAGCAAAGCACGGTCACCGAGACTGGTACACCACACACTGTCTGCCGAAAGTGCCGGAAGCTCTTGCCAGGCATCCTCCAAGGACCTGAGTATAAGACAGGTACCTAGATGCACCATGATAAAGCACCTGCACACAGGTCCCATGTCTTCGGGGATTTTTTGACTGCAGAACGCATTCAAGGGGTTGGTCACTCACCCTACCATACATACCTGGCTCCGTTTGATATTTTGGGGTTCCCAAATGTCAAGCGAATGATGCATTTAATCCAATGGCAGTCATCAACCGCTGCAGTGAAGATCATCATTGAACTGATCGAAGGGTTACCCGGTCCGGTATGGTAGATTTTTTTCCACCAAATAGTTTGAGGGCATGGAATTTAGCATTTTTTCTGGTGGAGATTACTTTGAAAAACTGTAATGCTTATTTTTGTTTGAAAAATAAAATATTTTGTGCACCCGGAAACCGTTTGCTTAGACCTCGTACGATGGGTCACTATGAATTGCAGAAATGCGTGGTAGTTCGTTCTAGCAACCTCTAGCTCTGAGATTTATGAATTCAGTCAGGATATAATACTGAGTTCTCTCTGGAAAACTCCTGAAAACGGAACTTTACTTAACTTTACTTCAGTGAAGGTTTCAATGGACACATAGGAACCATTGACGAAGTTTCATGTCTTAATAGGAAAGCAGGATTTCCCATGACCCGACTGCGGCACGGCGGAATCTGCATCCGGCGTATTGACGATGTGCCGAAAAAAATTGATCAAGAGCACTGTAGAATGGGAGTTTATCGATCAGCTGATACATTTAAAATGCTTGTTTCGGTCAAGAAAGGCTCAATATGGATGACAATTCATAAAACTCACCACACCGAATACCACTCTACTCCGCGGACAAGAATGAACATGCAAGACCTAGAGTTTTGCATATAGTCTATAGTATTTTATGGGTTTGAACCGAATTGAATTTTTTCCCGAGACAGGTTGGAATAAATAAACGTCTATCATGATATCCGGTAATGATTTATTTTACTTCACGTCTATGATACCACGTGTCCGATAGAAATCGGTTAATTCAATATTAAATTCCAGCGTAACACAACACGTTCTGCGGCAAAATGTTTCATACAATGCACAAACCCGATCGATAATGTTGAATGACAACCGGATATATTATATGGAGAAGGAATACATTATAAGAAATGTAAAGTAGTGAGTGATCCGTGCAACACTGACGCATAGTGTAAATAAACTATTCAAGAGGCTTACGAGAAGGCAATGCATAAATACTGCATCAGAATTAGTGCAAATCCATCAAATGATCATAGTCCTGGCTCGCATATTCGTGACGCTAGTCGCAGAGTGCGGGATTCAAGTGAATAAAGCTCACAACCGCTGCTCGTTTGTGATTGATTTTCTAGTCATATTCCGTCTAAAGACACATTACTGTGTAGTCCGAACCGGACCGCTGTGCCTAACGCGATTCCCAGGCTTTCCAGAGCTAATAGTGTTATAACTCCACAAGGCCGTGCTCAGTCGCGGATAGTAGTTTATCGTCAATAACGGTCAGGATATAGTTAAATAGTCAACAATTGTCAACAAAATATCTCATTTGGAACACGTTTGCAGAATTCCCGCACACACATAGGATGGTTGATGAAACGGCCCACTATCAGATGCTCATTTTTGTATCCACCATACCGAACGGCAACAGTTTCCCCCAACAGGTCTTATCTAATTTTGGTTGTTGAAAGAAACCGCTAATCGCATCTTTTTGCGTACTACTCACAAGTGAGTAGTATCTCACAACAATAGTGCCGCTAATCAGGTCCGGAATGTGTTCAACCGAATCATCCTCGAGGCTAGATGAGCGCAGTTTCTATGCTCACAACAAGCTCACACGGATGGATTGTGCTATATCGAGGATAGGCAAAAATAAACATGGCTTGATCAGTCACTCAGCGATCGAGTGACCATAGTATACGTGTGTTCTACCTGTGAGGTCTTAGGTTCTTCAATCCCCATTTGAGTCGATGGATTTGCGCAATGCTGATGAGAACTAACCAGGTCGAAATAGCTATCCAGTGCTTTCGAACCTTTCTGTTCACGCTTCGTTTGCTATATAATAACTTATTGGTCTGTTATCCCACAGTTCCTGAACATATAATAAACGAGTCATAAACAATTGCCTATTCCAGACAGGAGGCATACAAATATGTGGGTGGTGGCAGAAATCGAACACACTGCCTTTAAACAGGAGGCGAATGATAAATGTATTGTGAATGTATTGTCTTGCACCAAAACAGCATATCAATTACGTATGCCTGACTTTTCCTGGTCATAATTATGTGCGAATGTCTTTGAGCACAAACAATTATGAGCTGATTTGATCCAATCATCTAAGGGCATTGTCAAGTGTCAGAGATGATCCGGGAATAGGTAGATACTGTTTCAATTAATTAAGGTGACAATATTTTGCTATTCGTGGATTGCTGAAGTTGTGCAATCTCCTCTTCATTCAGGTACGTCTTGTTGTGTTCGAATATTTGGCATTGGACACAACGATTGACACCGTCCTGTGTGAACTGGTTCCTGAGGTGGCCCGAACCCAGTTGGAACGGGTAAGGCAGAAGGAAGAACATCGACGATTGTATTTTGTAAGTTTTACACTCGGTAAAATTGCCTCGAGTTCAAGATTATTTCACTATTCGATGTGGATATTTGTGCACATGAGAATGAATTGCGAATTGGATGACTAGAGTTAATTTCATGCAACCAGTTCCCTTTAACATTTTCATGAGAGCAAGGAGACTTGTCATGATCACAGGATGTGCTGAATTCAATTCATGGTAATCTCATCAGCTGTGTACATACATTCAGACCACCAGGACCGATCCTGGCTGATATCTTCATTGGAAACATGGAGAATACAAAACTTCGACAATGTATGAACAGCACACTCTTCTATGGCCGTTACGTGAATGACACATTTATCATACTGAATGACAGCGCACAAGCACAACTAATGCTTAGAAAACTCAACCGTTCACATTCAAGTATTAAATTCATGGCGGGATACGAATCCGAATATTCCTTCCAGTTCCTGAAATGTCAAACTGACGAGAAACGAGGTCGGATCTCTCATCAGATCCGTAGTTCACAAGCCGACATGGACGGGACAGTACCTTAAGTTTAGAAGTTTCTGTCCAATACAATACAAACGATCGTTGGTACACAGTTTATTCTCTACAGTCAGGATAATCTGCCCCAGTGAGACGTTAGAGTTCGTTGCATATACGTGGCACTGCACAAAAATGAATACGATAAAAAGTTTATTTCAAAGTATGGGGTGCTGGTGAATAATCTAGAACAACGTAACACCGTCTCAAAAGAAGGTGTTCTTGTTACCATACCGCTTTAAGGTGATCAAAATGATAGGCCGAAACAGCGCGGGTTGCAAAAAGCGATTGAGAAAACATATAACGCCGCCTCCCTCATAATACTGCACGACACGAAGTGATTGCTCATTGAATCCAATCTAGACAAACCCGACTCTTCAGTTACCTCCTCCCGTGTTTATCTATTTCAGTGTACTTGCGGTAGCAAGTACATGGGAAGAAATGCGAGACGATCGTTTATCAGGATAGCACAGCATGCCCCGAAGAATTTGGTGGCTAACAGGTCCAAGCTTCCATCCAGTTCAATCGCCCGACATATTCTGGATTGCAAAGAATGTGATAAACCTAGAACGCATTTCGTGTCTTGATCCGCCAGAAAGGTAGCCGTCTACTACGGTTCGCTGAAGCGGCTGCCATTCGACGTTACAAGCCCGACTTATGTAAACAGACCGAATTTGTGGCTAGCCTCGCACTGCCCTGGCAGGTTTCACTGTCCTCCTCTCCCTTCGCCCACCCTACAGTGGTTCCGCTCCCTGCCCCTATGCTCAATCCGGTTAATATTGGTAAACCTTTGGCCTTCGTATTGATTGATTTCTTTTCCCCATGTTTGTTCACCTGTCCCCGAACCTGTCACTCTTTTAACCAAACGTCATCCGAATTTATGCATACTGCGAATGAGAGTACCATGAAATGCTTTAATTCAACACATCCTGCTGTGATCATGATGCTTCTTCTTGCGTTCATGAAGACCAGAGTTACGCTCAAATGCGAAAACGAAGACCAAGAGGCCCCAAGCAAAAACGGGACTAATCACCGAATTCAAAAATGATCTCGAAGCTGGTCACACTTTCGAGACGTGGTTCACCCGCGAGGAACACGTGCTCCACACAGATTGCAGTTGTCAAGACGATGCATGTAAAGTGCACAGACTTGTCCGGAAACTTGCAAACAACCAACACTCCAGAGTAGATGACTATATTCTTCCCCAAAAATCCTCAAGATTGTAAATTTGACGAAGCAGTGACACAATTGTCACAAATATTTGGTGAGTCAGCTCCATTGTTTAGTATCCGTTACGAGTGTCTTAAAATTGGCAACCGGGATGGAAAAGATTGAGGCATGCTTGCTGACCGAGCAAGTCGTGGGTGTGAGCGGTTCAAACTTCGCTCATTGATGGATGAACAATTCGAAGTGCCTTGTTCTCATCAGAGCACTGCAGAATTCCCAAGATGCCAAAATTCGCACTCGTCTACTAACCAGACTTGATCAGGACTCGGATATGAACCAGAAGTCTCATGGCTCTCTCATGGCACAGTGTAAGTGTCTTCTCTGTCTGAAACATGAGACTGACTTGGTCGAACAGAAAGAAGACCTTCACGACTGACGTTCGTTCAGTGTATTGCCCAACTAATCAGTCATCTGTGATGGACTTCAAATCCTTGAAACGACCCGCAATGTAGACTGGCGTAAATTACTGGTCGTGTATCGAATGACAAGTCGCACGGATTTGTCTCTTCGAAAACACATCCGTCAGACGTGCAACAAACGGGGTCAGAAGGAAGAATGGTGCTGGTCAACGAGACAGTCAAACGAGTCAACAGAAAAGAGGTTCCTAGTACATCCAAAAAAAAACAATCCTGGGATGTATGCAGCGTGGACAATTATGTATTCGTTTAAGCGGACATGGCCTAAACCAAAATGAGGAGGGTGCAATCGTTAAAGGCGGACGCAAATATCTAAATAATAGATGTCGGTGGAGGCCTAACCTTTCCTTGAGACTTCCCGCGGTTCGCATCTGGAGTGGATTGGGATCAGTGTAACAGTTGTAGTATACACTGATCACAAAGTGCGAATTCCGAATTAGGAATCACAAACATTTCTATCGC